GGGGTGCTTGACAGCTGAGTTTAAAATCCTTAGCTCGCACGTGCATAGGATAATATCCCTGCAAAGTTTCAGCTTTCTACCTTGCCTGCTTTGCGAAATCGTTTCCCGCCAACATATTTTTTTGGGGAGCTCATACGCGGGGTCTAGGCGCGTGTGGGAGAACATCTTGAAACGGGAGAATGGCACACGGGGTAGGAACATATACCCAAAATTTCAGCCTCCCAGCTTTCCTGGTTGCTGAGATGAAAGTGGATGACAAAGTGCACTCGCTTTCCGAACACACACACCCACAGACAGCCTCTCGACAATATGCGTTTTTGCTGGCTGTAGCAATAGCGCTGCACAGCAAAAACCCATAAAAACAAAAACAACGTAGAGACTGGATTATGCATTTCCTCACCAGTTTTCGAGCTCTGGTTCACCATGAGAGACTAGTTTTTTGGAAGCCAATAAGTCCCGCAAAAGTCCCGAAGTCGCTAACGGGCAGCTTCGACAAGCAGTACGATGTAAGAACTGCGACACGAGTCTTTAGCCTCATGGACAGCGTGACCCTCACTTGAGTTCAGAAAGCTAAAATTTCGAAGGAGATTCCCCTTGACCGGCATGCTGTTTTTGCTGTAGCAACACTGAAGCTGTGATACAGCTTCTTCATTTCAAAATGGCATTTTATTTAATTGTAGCTTTGTCGAACACAAGAAAAGATTTGGATTTACACACTTGCGACTGGTCTCAAAAGAAAATCTTTCGCGAAAATGCTAATTTCTTGAAAAGGCAGAGAACGTGAATTGTATAATGTAAAAGTTTCGGCCATGAAACAATCCGAATTGTGTTGATAAGCTCCAGCTAAATATAAAAGACTCTTAGCATCCCCAACAGGAGAAATCGTCTACAACCTGCTACTTCGTTTACCTGTTTGAAAAGCTAAAAACATGCTCCCAGAAAGTTTGAAAACATTAGTGCCATAAAAGCACCGGGAAAAGCTTTTCAAGACTTATCTTTGCGTGAAGTTCAAAATAGTTGAAGCGCAAAAACTGGCCTGAAAACCATTAGCCTAACCAAAGGTAGAAGAAAAATACGAAGCACGTGACAATTTTTCTAATTTATTTTGTTAAAATATGACGAATGGGAAAAAAAAATTAAAATGTAAAGAAAACACTGAATCTCAGTTACAATTTATAACCTGTTTATCAGAAATATCAACAACCAATTTACCAGACTTAGCAATTTACCCTTATTTCAGATGTGTTGATTTTACGCCGGGACTTAGCAACATCCTTGTTTTCGATGCTTTGATTTTGGGCCGTCATTGTATGCTGAACTTTTGCATTATCTTGTGCATTTCGCAAATGCTGTTTATAGTGTGAACTATGCCATCATGCAACGACACTTATATTCCTATTCATAACAGTGCTTCGCAGATAGTTGCTAGCCACGATAAACTCCTACGCACATTCCAGTCTAGTCTAGACGAAAAAAAAATAAGGTTCTTCCTTTAATTTACGCTGTGCCTAAGTTTCATAAAAACCCCTATAGCTTCCATTTTATCGCTTCCACCACTCATTCCAGTTTCAAGCGTTTGAGTATACTTTTGCATCGCATTCTTCAATTCTTTCGCCAACACCTTCGTAACTAGGTGGCTGCTACACAGCGCAAATTACGCAGGTGCCTCTTTCATAGTGTACGTAACTCCAAGCGAGGTACTATCTTTTATCAGCGAGTGCTAACATGTTAATCACTTGCACACAGACTTCTCCATCCTCCTCACAAAACTCCCGCATCACGCAATCTATGACACCCTCAGTTATCTTTTCACCTTTTTTTTCATAACGCCCAATCTGATGCTCTTTTCAGTGTTCTTAATAACATCTATTCTGAATACCTTCGCCCCCACTGTTCTGGAACTGTTTACTTACGTGCGGAAATAGATGGCACCCTCTGTTACGCTACGCTTAAGTCTTATTTACGTTTCGCTGGCTACATCTTTCGCCAGATGAAAGGCGTCCCCATGGGTGGCAGTGCCAGTTTCGACATTGCCGACCTCACTTTGTCAGTACTTTATTTTAAATACAGCAGACTTCCTACCAGCACTCCAGTTCTCCTCCGTGATATTCTAGTCTTCAACTGCCCGGACCTTCTTTCGCTTCGTCTAAGCATATGTGGCCAGAACCTAGACATGGAGTGTGCAGATTCAGGTACCGCCGTCAACTACTTAGACTTGACCCTTTCCATAGACACCAATGTTCGCATTGCTTCTTTACTTTACTGCAAGACCGATTCACCCTCCCCATCATTAAATATCCCTCTCTTTGCAGCAACTTACACCCCTCTGTTCACAACGGTATTGTCTATAGTCAGCTCAATAGATACTTAGCTTTCGAATCCACTCATCAAGGATTTATCGCTTCCACTCGTCGTCTTCTCCTCCACTACTCGCATAAAGGATTTTCTTCTCACAGCATTAATCGGCTAGTCCACACATTGGAACACAGAAATAAATACCAGTTTTCTTCCTGCTGCGGCCCTCTGTCGACATCTGATGCGCACTCTTCTACAACAATTATACCAGCCAACATGCACGTATACGTCACATTGCTAACTTTCTGTTCATATCGCTACTCTTTACCATGACTTTTTACCATATCGCTACTCCTCTTTACCATAATAATGCTTTTCAGCTATGTCGAATACGGAACGAGCCAAAACCAACGGTGGTGATTTTGCCCCAAGTAACCACACGGGCCAAAGAGCGTCCATCGAGATTCCACTCTTATATTACAACTGTTTAATCATTTTCAACTATTCTAAATTTAATATAATTGTAAAAAAATCTTCCTCACCCTATTTTCTCCTTTTTTCCTCCCATTCCTTTCTTTTTCTTCTCATCTCTGAACACCATGACCG